ACTACTACTACTACTACTACTACTACTACTACTACTACTACTACTACTACTACTACTACTACTACTACTACTACTACTACTACTACTACTACTACTACTCTGCTACCCCTACTACGACGACTACTGCGATTAATGCTTGTACTACTAATACTAATGCTACCGGAGAAACACAACCATAATATTTTTCGTGCTGTAGGGCTATAGGGCTATATGGGCTATATGGCTATTGGGCTACAGGGTAATATAGCTACAGGGCTATAGAGCTATAGGGCTATATGGCTATAGGGTATAGGGCCTTTAGGGCTATAGGGCTATACGGCTATAGGGCTTTAGGGCTCTTGAGCTATAGGGCTCTATAGGGCTATAGAGCTATAGAGCTGTAGGGCTACAGTGCTATAGGGCTATTGGGCTATAGGGCTATAGGGTTACAGGGCTATAGGGCTACAGAGCACCCCCGGGCACCTGGGCACCCGGGCGTGCAGCGAAAATCGGCGGAAAACCTAACCTGACCATATGAGATCGGAGAAAAACTCCAATCATATTTTTTCATAGGGCTGTAGGGCTATAGGGCTACAGGGCTAGATGGGCTCTTGGGCGCTACATGGGCCATTGGGCTATATGGCTATCTGGGCTACAGCGCTATTGGGCGATAGGGCTATAGGGCTATAGGGCACCCCCGGGCACCCGGGCACCCCTGGGCACCGGGGCACCCGGGCGTGCGGCGAAAATCGGTGGCAAACCTAACCTAACCATATGAATCCGCTAGGACCCCTACAGAGGCAAGCTCTGATTGGGGAATGAATGCGCTAGGACCCCTACAGAGGCAAGCTCTGATTGGGGAATAATCATATAGATATGAAACTACTAGCACTACGATTATCACACAGGCGAACAAACACAATCATAAACACAAAATCTGGCGAAGGGCCCAACTATATGCAATCGTGACGACCGTAGTTGTAGGTATCGTCTTCGGTGGAGCTCCCAAGGGGGCCACGGAATGCTGCACTGGGTTTGGGAGACGCATGCGGGCTGCGCCCTGGGCGCCTTCGGGGGAGGCCCCTGCGGGGCCACGAAGCGGTGTACTGGGTGGGGGCGACGCATGCGGGCTGCGCCAGTGGGACCTTCGGTGGAGCTGTGGAGCTCCCCAATGGGGCCACTGAGCGCTGTACTGGGTGGGGGAGACGCATTCGGGCTGCGCCATACTGGGACCTTCGGTGGAGCTCCTTCTGGTTTCTCGAAGCGCTGTGCTGGGTTTGGGAGACGCATGCGGGCTGCGCCCCTGGGACCGTCGGAGGAGCTCCCTACGGTGCCGCGAAGCGCTGTGCTGTGTGTGGGAGACGCATGCGGTCTGCGCCGCTGGGACCTCAGGTGGAGCTCCCTGTGGGACCTTCGGTGGAGATGGGGCCACGGAGCGCTTTACTGGGTGTGGGAGATGCATGCGGAAAGCGCCACTGGGACCTTCGGTGGAGCTCCCCAATGGGGCCACGAAGCGGTGTACTGGGTGGGGGAGACGCATGCGGGCTGCGCCACTGGGACCTTCGGTGGGGCCTCAAACGGGGCCACGGATCGTTGTGCTGGGTCGGGGAGACGCACGCGGGCTGCGCCGCTGGGACCTTAGATGGAGCTCCCTACGGGGCCACGAAGCGGTGTACTTGGCGGGGGAGACGCATGCGGGCTGCGCTAGTGGGACCTTCGGTGGAGCTCCCCAATGGGGCCACGAAGCGCTGTACTGGGTGTGGGAGACGCATTCGGGCTGCACAATACTGGGACCTGAGGTGGAGCTCCCTACGGGGCCACGAAGCGGTGTACTGGGTGGGGGAACCGCATGCGAACTGCGGAGGACGGATGGGGAGGAAGAGGTGGGACGCGGGGCGCTGTCTCTTCAACACGAGGACCCAACAGCACAGGATTGTCGGGAAACCGCACAGCATTAACTCTATTACGATTATGTGACCATCGTTACGACTCATATTCCATGGGTAGAAGTATCATTATTAGAAATACCGATTTTATTAGTATGACTCGTATTCGTATATTATCATTATTGTTGTTTTAATGTTTTCATTTGTATTGCAATTCGGTCATTATTATAATCATGATGATTACTGCCATTATTGCTATTTTTATCATTGGTATTATTCGTATTACGAATACGAGCAATCTGGGACATCTAATATGAGCACTAATAGTCGTAGTAATATCAACCACGATAACACGCAAACGATGTATAGTACGAATGCGACTAAGAATGAACAGTAATGTTACAAGTGCTAATACTGTTGGACTTAGGAGTAGTAATTGGAGGAGGAGGAGGAGGAGGAGGAGGAGGAGGAGGAGGAGGAGGGGGAGGAGGAGGAGGAGGAGGAGGAGGATGGGGAGGAGGACGAGGAGGACGAGGAGGAGGAGGACAAAGGATGCAGGAGGGACGAGGATGAAATGGAGGACGGGTCGGAGGCGGAGAGAAGGGTTGGGACGAGGAGGAAAGAGAGGAGGAGGAGGTGGAGAGGGAGGAGGAGGGGGAGGAGGAGGAGAGTGGGGAGGAGGACGACGGAAAGGGGGCGCTTCCTCATTCCCTTCCTCCTCCTCCCCCGCCTCCTTCTCTGGCCTCCTCCCGCGCGCGTCCCGGCGAGGCGACTCGGGGGCGGGACGGGGGGGTCCCCCGAGGGGCAGAGGCACCAACAGTCCAGGCGCCGGCCCCTGCGCCCCAGGGCCTCTGGCCGGCCGCCGCGCGGGCGGCATGTCCGCGGCGATGGCGCCCAGCGTCGTCTGGGGCACGTCCCCCGCGGCGGGCGCCGGGCGCCTCGGGAGCGGCCCAAACCGCGGGGGAGGGATCGCCTCGGCGGTCGCCGGGGATGGTGGGCAGGCCGTTGCTGCGATCGCCCTCCTCGCCCTCCTCCTCGCCCTCCTCCTCTCCCTCCTCGCCCTCCTCGCCCTCCTCCTCCTCCTCCTCCTCCTCGCCCTCCTCTTCCTCCTCGCCCTCCTCCTCGCCCTCCTCTTCCTCCTTCTCCTGATGAGCGGCCTGGAGTGATCTTTGGTGTGGGCCCACTGGGGCCCCCTGATCGCCGAACGCGATGCGGCAGTAGCGTCTTGCGCGCTCGTGTTTGGTGCCCCAGCGGCCCCCGGAAAGCTGCGCACCGAAGGTCGCTCTTGCGTGTAGCCGGTGCGAGCGGCGTGCCTGGGCCTCCTCGCGTCGCGGAGGAAGCACGGCGGAGGGTGTCCGGTCCGTGGTCGGCCTCCGGGGGCCCCCAGAGGTCACTTGGCCCCGAGGCCGCGGGCAGAGCAGCTCAGGACGAGAAGCCAGCCCTGAAGCAGCCACCCCTCCCGCTTGATGAGTGCCCCAGGAGGCCCCAAGGAGCCCCCAAGAGATCTCAGGAGGCCCCCAAGAGGCACCCAGGAGGCCCAAACGAGGCCTAAAGAGGCCACAAAACAGCCCCGAGGTGGCCCCATAACGGTCCCAAAACGGCTACCGAGAAGCTGCGAAACTGCCTTCACGACGTCCCCGACAGCCCAACCACGAGATCCAAACCAACACCCATGAGGCCTCTGACCCACCACCCAGGGCATGGTGGCGGAAGCAGTGACAGCATTTGTGCACAGCATGTTCCGGCGGGAGCCTTCCGGAGCACGCTGCAGGAGGAGGAGGAAGATCAGGAGGAGAGAGAGCTGGAGTGGGAGGAGGAGGAGGGGGACGAGGAGAAGGAAGAGGCCTCCAAGACAGCTCCAAGATAGCCGAAGAGGCTTCCAAGAGGGCCCTGGGCGGCCCACGAGTGCCCCAGGGCGGTGCCTGAGGCGCCCAAGACGGCCCGAGAGGGCCCCGAGACGGCCCCAAGAGAGGCCCAAGAAGGAAAACACGAATCCGAGCTTTCTACCCCGAGAGGTTCTCAGGAAGTCCCAAGAGGCCCCCAATCGGATCCAAGAGGCCCCCAAGAAGCTCCCAAGAGGGCCGACGAGGTTCCAAGAGATCTCCCAAGGTGGCCCCAAGAGGCACAACTCATGGTTTTACGCTGGGGCTTTCACGGGTTTAACTTTTTCGGCCTCTTGGCATCCCGATGCTCCAAGACGGCCCAAGAGGCTTCCAATACCGCTCCCATATAGAGGAAGAGGACTCCAAGAGGGCCCCAAGACGGCCCGTGAGGGCCCCAAGACGGTGCTTGAGGCGCCCAAGACGGCCCGAGAGGGCCCCAAGAGCCCCAAGAGAGGCCCAAGAAGGGGAACGCGACCCAACAGCAGAGCGTTCCCCCCAAAACGCCCACAGTAGGCCGCAAGAGGCCCCCAAGTGGTCCGACCAGGACCCCACAAGCTTCTCGAGGGCCGAAAAGGCCCCTGGGAGACGTCCAAGAGTGCCCTCGATGCGTCAAAACTGCTTCCAGGAGGCCCTCGGGAGGCTTCTGGATTGCCTCAATCTGGCCGCAGGTGGCCTCAAGTCGTGCCTCCACGCAGCCAAGACGGCCAATGACGGCTTCATATTGCAGAACCAATGCCCCCAAGGGACCCTCAGACGCCTCCCCAATAAGCACCCAAGAGGTGCCTCCAACAGCCAGTTGACGAAGCATGCGGAACACCCTAGAAGCTCCTCAGATGCCGTCGCGCGCCTGTGCTTGATAGCGTTGTCCAAGATCGTCCAGCGCCCCCCCAGCCTGGGCTAGAACCTGAGCGCGCGCGAAGCGCGCGCGATGGTTCTAGTACATATACATGTGTTTTAGCTTGTTTGTTTCAGTGCGCATGCGTGCGCACTCACGCTTGTAGGCCCGCGCGCGCGTGAGGAGGACGACGGGAGGCAACGTTGCGAACGCGAGGCTCGTTGGCAACATGCTCGGCAGTGTTAGCACCGACCGGAATCAATATTTGCGCCAAAAGCAGCAGAAGCAAGGGGTCATCGGATTCCACACGCATGGGGTCCCACGCAATTGCGGACCCGCGCGCATGTGGGTCTACATGCGCGGGGTTGCGCGCAGGCTTTGCTCCACACGAGCACGAGGGGGTCCACGCGCGTGAGGTTCCACACGCATGGTACAAGAGCTCAGTTGGGCACAACAATTTTGGTTGCGAGACCCTCGCCCTCCGCGCCGTGCATCCATTCGTCTTGTTTTCGAAATCAGCTTTGGGAAGTCCCATGTGGCCTTCGACGGGCAAGCCGCTCTCCTGTGCGGCCGGCCCGTGCTTTGACTGACGAGAGTTCGCTCAGCCTTGAGGGTGATTCCGATTATCAGTCTGCTGTGGTCAACATCCTGGTTCAGCCACGCGTAGAGCTGCTTAGAGGGAGCGGACCTTGTCTGTAGTCTGTAGATGGTGGGCCAGCGCCTTGTCAGAAGCAGCCTCCTTCTAAGCCTTTCCCCTTTGCCCCCACCCCTTTCTGTGCGCGACGCCAAAATCAACATCCTAGTGTGGCCGCTGCTCCTCCCGCGTGGAGCCCCTGTCGTTTCGTCGCCCACGCGTCGCCGTTTGCAGGGGGCCTTGCCGCGCCGCCCCCCCCCCCCCCCCTGCCGCGCTCGCTGCGGCTCACGCGCGCCCGAGGTACGGCGACAGCGCCTACGGAGGCCTCCTGGGCGGCTCCGCCTCGCTTCGCGTAGCCCGAACTTCGTGCCCAGCGACTTCGACGACGACGTCGTCGATGGCGTCGCTTCGGGAGTATCCCGTTCCGTCCGAGGTTTCGACAATCGTCGTTTCGGAGGTTTTTGGAAGGTCTTCCTCACCGTCGTTGGCGACCCACTTCGCGGGATAGCCCGGCGACGCGCAGAAGGTGGCGGCGACGTCGACGACGTCGGGATTGCTGGTTTGAGGGGCGCTTTTTAGAAGTTCTCGTCGCCACAGATGGGCGCGGCTGTGAGAGCTTGCCAGGACGTGCCCCGAGTGGGTCCCGGGGACCGGTTTTGAACACATTATGGTCGGACGGTGGCGATGACGCTCTCCCTTTTTTTCCTTCCTGCTCGCGCTGATGAGTATCGAGGTCCGAGGTTTGGGCCCCGATGAGGTTTTCGCACTCGCTCGTTGGGTTACATGTGCAGGCTACGTGTTCATGTGTGTATCTGTTTGTGTGTCTATGCATTTGTGTTGATGTCTGTGTATACAAGGCATGTATATATATATATATATATATATATATACACACCACTACGTTCGCACTCCACCAGAAGGAGGAAGGAAATTCTTGACGCTTCGCGTATCCCCCACCAGTTGCTTTCGCCGCGTATGGCCGCGACCAAAAAAGTATCCCCCACCAGTTTGCACCCCTGGCTGTGCAGCCACCCTGGCAGCCACCGCCTTGCATGGACGATGTGTGTGTGCGCTTTCTGCCCCTGGCCCTGGCACCCACACCCAGTGCAGCTTGCAGCTCACTTGCGGCGCCGCTTAGGCAGCTTAGGCAGTTTAGGTGCGCGGCTCTAGTTTGCTCCTGTTGTCAATTCGTAGGCCCGCGCCCCAGACTTACGACTCGCCGCTTGCGCTCTTCGCCTGCGGCCGCGACCAAAATATAAAACCCCACCAGCGGTCAGCTGCCACACCGGGGTGCCTGCCGTGCCTGGCGTGCACTTCCCCTCCTCTCCTCCTGCGTCCTTATGCCACAGCGGCAGCTGTTGCGCTGGGGTGTTCCCCCTCCTGTTTCACATGGTTCTTCCCTGGCGGCTGGCTTTTGCTGCCCAGTACTGCTTCCTGATGGCGTTCAGGTGGTCTGGAATTCATGCAAGGACTCACACAGGCAATGGTGCTGCGTCGCATTCGCTGAGGTCAGGTGCCCCCTGGCCTGCTCCTGGCTGGTGTCGGCCCCTGCTGACGAGTGGGAGGTTCCAGTGTCTCTCGCTACACGGCCTACCTTACGGTACCCGGACCTCGGGTTCGACAAGTGTGGCTCTGTACGCTCGTTGGCCGACGTTCTCCTGCGTGGACTTCGCTTCCGACGAGTGTTACAGGTTTTACTGTCGTTTGCCCCTCTTCACTCATGCGCCGACACGATGTTTTGGCATTTGTGCCGCCTACGTCACGGATGTCATCTGGGTGTGCCTGTCGGTCTAGTTCGTCTCTGACGGTGCATGTCTGACTCACACCGAGCGACCGACCTCTGCGTGTTTATGGTCGCGCCGCCGCGCCATTTTGGCTGCGCTTACTTGCTGGTCGCCACCGGGATTTCCAACGCCACCGGGTTCGAGAGTATCGGTTCTGGCTCTCCTTCTGTGTGGCTGCCCGCTCGCTCGCTTCGCTTGCCTTTCTTTTCCTGCTGCCAAGTCGCGGCCCGACAGTTCGGACGGCTTTCGGCCGCCTCGCGAGCTTGTTGCTAAAACGTATCCCCACCAGCTTTTGGCTGCGCTTACTTGCTGGTCGCCACCGGGATTTCCAACGCCACCGGGTTTGGGAATAACATTTCCGGCTCTCCTTCTGAGTGGCTGCCCGCTCGCTCGCTTCGCTTGCCTTTCTTTTCCTGGTGCCTAGTCGCGGCCCGACTTGTGTTCGGACAGCTTTCGACCCGCTTCGCGAGCCTGTTGACCAAACAAATACCCCCACCAGCCTTGGACCGCGCGCGGTCGGACGTTTGCGCTCGCGAATCCCCGCCAGCCCATCCATAAACTATGCTAATTCGAGTTGACAGGGGGAAAGAGAGGAAGAGGCACGCATAGTCAAACAACGAAGGAAGCTTGGGAGGCTCTGTGGACATCTCGAGCCGTCTTGGAGCGGTCTTGGGGCCGTTTGATTATTTTGGGAGCCATCTTGAGCCAGCATGGGCTATCTGAGCCATCTTGGATGTAATTTTTGGCTCTCTGAGGCCGTTCGGGGGCCTCTTCGGGGCCTTTTCGGGTGCCTCTTGGATGTCTTGGGAGCCTTGGAAGGCTTTTTGGGGCCATGTTGGAGGCGGGCGATCAAAAGAGGGGGTTCCCTTATCTCTGTCCCCCCTTCGGGGGCCGCGATCCTCGTGAGGGGTGTCAGAAACCAGGCCCTCCCAGGGGCCGAAAAAGGACGCCGTAACTCGTCGCGACCCCGTCCCCATCAAAAACCGTGGGGAGGGGAGGGGGAGGGTTCCCCCTTCCGAAGGGAAGAGAAGGGTTGTGGAAGAGGAAAGAGACCCTCCTTAGACCACCTGTCGCCCAAAGGGCTGGTGGGATTGTGGTACCCGAGAGTCGTCGCAACGAGCGTAGCTCTTTGTTGTTGTCGCCGTCGTCGTCGTCGTTGTAATAAATGCTGCTTGGGGAGCAAACGAATCGGCCACCTCGCTCCCCCCAGCCTTCCGTCCTACCCTTTTTACCCTCGTTCCTCTCCTCCATGTGTGTTCGCTCCGAAACGTTTTCCCGTGCCCTACTCGTGCGTTCACAAGCGTCCGCTTCACGTGTTCCCGTCTATTGTGCCTGAAAGGCGCTGGCTTCTCAGTAACATGCAGGCCGTGTGTACCTGTGTATACGCGCTATATCGGTTTGACTACCCTGCCGATTCCTCTCGATTTTCCCGTCTGGCTGCCTCGCGTCCGGACCTCCGACGCTGCGTGCTCGCCTCACGACGCCAGCACTGTCAGAGGTCATCTCGGCCCCACTACGGTCGGCCCCGCCCCGCCCCCGGCCGCGAGGCGCCTACGCCCAGGACGCCTGTTGCGCGGTGTCCTGCCCGGGCGTGAGCTGCGGCACTGCTGGTCGGAGGGCGCCAAACCACGGCACCCGTATGGGGGCCACACGCGAGCCCCACCCCTACCCCCCACGAAGGGTGGGGTTCTTTTCGTTCGGGAGCTCCCGAACGTAGTGAACCCCACCCTCCCCCTCAGAAATCGTGGGGGGTAGGGGTGGGGCTCGCGTGTGGCCCCCTAGCCCGTGCACCGATCTGTGCCCAGACCGATCCTGGCCGCCCATGACTGGCGCGTGCGCCTGCCTCGCCCGCCGGGCGGGCATTCGCCGGGGGGCCGCCGGCGCGGTCGGCGGCGAAGTCCGAGCCTTGCCCTCGCCAAGCAACGATGCTGGCAGCCCACGGGGCAGCGGGGGTGGGGTTCGGCATTCGTCGAGCGCGTGGCGAAATCTGAACGCTGCCCCCGCCCCCGATTGGTTCACGAGAACAGAGGGCTGGTGGGGGTTAGGGTTCGGATGTCGCCACCTCCACGGGGGGCGAAAGAGGGCGAACGAATGGCCCTCGTAAACTACTCCTCGGGGTTCAACATGTGCTGGAAAGGCTTCCTCAGACCCCCCACGTTGTTTTTTTTGTTCGCGACGTGGACTCCTGGAGGTCTCCGCCCACTCTGGGGCCAGTTTTTCATCCTGAGTTCCCGGGTCTCAGTGAGGGCCCCCATTGGCCGAACGTCAGACAATGTCGAAAATCACCCGTCGTGTTTTTCCCATGTCTCAAGGTGGAATCACTGTTATAGGAATTACTGTTACAGTTGGGACGCCTCCGCCTCACTCACTCGCTCTCGTCTCCTTCCCCTCATCGCATTCAGATCACTCATACTCAGACTCACTCCAACTCAGACTCATGCACAGTCAGAACACTCAGCTTACACTCAGATCACTCATACGCAGACTCATTCACTCTCGGACTTACCCAGAGTCAGACTCACACAACCAGAACACTCAGCTTAGCCATACTCAGACTTCGTCCCACGGATACTCAGACTCGCATTCACTCCGACATACTCACACTCAGACTCACTCACACACAGACTCTTTAACGCACTTCTGCCCTCGCAGCCGCGCGCGCGGCGGCGCGGCGTAGGTCCTGTCAAGCGGACGAGACCCACTCACACGCAAACATACGCACACATTTAGACATACACACTTTTGGGGGGCGTCCAGTGCTCACCGAGACCTAGCAGGCGTGGCATTGAGGCACCTCAAGGAGAAGCCGAGTGGGAGGGGGACACTAGCTCCCTACGGGACCAGGAACATGTAAAGTGTGCGCCAAGATGAGGGGTGGAACTATCTGCGGACACTGCCGCTGGGGCCGCATGTGGAGCTCCCAAGGGGACCACGAAACGTGCGATGGGTGCGTCGAGATGGGGAGCGGAACTGAGTGCGGACCGTGCCACTGGGGCCGCAGGTGGGGCTCACTATGGAGTCACGAAGCGTATGAGGGGCGTGCCGAAATTGACATGCGGAGAGCAGAGGCAGGGATGGGAGGAGGGATGAAGGGGGAGGATGAAGGATGAGGAAGAGGAAGGGGACGTGGGGCGCTGTCGTGTCGAACCCAGGACCCACCACCACCGGATGGTGGGGGATTTCGGAAACCCGACTGGACAGGCCTTGGCATTCCTCATTGCCTCAACGTGCATAAGGCACGGTGGCGGATGCCACAGCGCCTGGGGGATCGATCCTCGGGGACCTCGACACGCGCGGTGGATATGAATGCAGCTGCCCCGCCCGTGCCCCGACCATGTCCAGATCCAGGGCCCGCCGAGGTCCCCCGAGTGTCAATCCCCCAGGCAGTGGTTATGGATAGCCCCCCGCCCCGCACACGCACTGTTAACCAACGCCCAAGTCGACACGGCAGGAGCCAGCTGCACACCCAGACCCCCGACGTCGTGTTTTTGTTGCACGACGAGGGCCTCTGGCCTTCTCGTTGCCTTCTCCAGTGGGCCGCCCTTTCTCGGCGGCGAGCCCCCGAGGGAAGCGAGAGGGGGCAGGCCCATCCTGGGGAAGGGGTCGGGACTTCGAGGCCTCCGCATCGAGAAGATCAAGACATCGCATGTCTGGAGAGCGTTCTGGAACTCCTCTTCGACCGTCCTGGGGGCGCCCTGGAACGGCCGCGGCGCCCGATGCACGCTCCAGAACCGTCGGCTCTCAGAGATCCCCAACGTGTCCCGGTCCGAGTTTGTCCCGGTTCCGGCCTCCTCTCAGCAGGGTGGGGGTGCCCACCACTCAGGGGGCGCGGGCGGCGCCGGCGGCTTCACGACGCTGTCGTACGTCGGGCCCGGCTGCGGGGAGTACGCCCCCGAGACCACGTACAGGTGCCCCCCCGGTGGACCCCGCCGGCGAATGCGGCCGTGCCGGAGGGAGGGGCTGTCGTCGCCGTCGTCGCCGTCGTCGTTTGTCGTCGTCTTCGTTCTTCATTGGCATCGTCGTCGTCTTCGTCGTCGTCGTTGTCCTTGTCGTCGTCGTCGACGTAGGAGGAGGAGGAGGAGGAGGAGGAGGAGGAGGAGGAGGAGGAGGAGCAGGAGGAGGAGGAGGAGCAGGAGGAGCAGGAGGAGGAGGAGGAGGAGGAGGAGGAGGGTGAGGAAGGAGGTGGGAGGAGGGGGAGGAGGAGGAGTGGGAAGCAGGAGGAAGGAGGATGAGGAAAGCGGAAAGGAGGGGGCAGGAGGGAGGAGGAAGGAGAACGATGAAGACGAAGCCGGGGAGACGAGAGGCATTGGAACATTTGTGGACGGAGGCGGAGGGGGAGGATGAGGAGGAAGCGTCGGAGCGCCCGTGGGCTTGGAGGCCGCGTCGGCGAGAGGAGCGCCGGGCGAGCCACACCTCGGAGCATGTCGACCAGTGCGCCATGGCACATCCCCGGCAGACCCGCGACGAGGTGGAGTGCGATCATGTATTGATGGGCACATTTTTCCACCACCACTACCATACGTAGAACGGGGGAGAAGGGAGGAGGAGGAGGAGGTCCTCCTCCTCCTCCTCGTCGTCCTCCTCGTCCTCGTCCTCCTCCTCCTCCTCCTCCTCCTCCTCCTCCCCTCTTCCTCCTCCTTCCTCTCCTACATACAGTAGTTGTTGTGGAACATGGGCCCATCATGTACGTGTTCACCTCAGACCTGTGCCGAAAGGGGAACATCAGCGGACGGCGAGGAGAGGGAAGCCTACGGGGAACAGGAGGGCGAGGAGATAGAGGCGGGGTGCAGTGTGGACCGTGAGCGGGAGGGGGGGCGTGTGGGTGAGGAAGGCGAGGGTGAGGAGGAACAGGAGAAGTGGCAGCAGCAGCCGGTGATTTGGAGGGTGATGGAGGGAAGGAGGGAAGAAGCGAGGAATAGAGGGAGGGAGGGCGAGCGGGAGGAGGGAGGGCGAGAGGGACGCGAGGACGAGTTCGTGGCGAGGAGGGGGAGAAGGAGTAGGAACGAGGGAGGAGGGAAGGGGCAGGCAGAAAAAGGAGGACCAAGAGCCTTGCCTAGCCCCTCGACGCCCTATGCTGGTCTGTGCGTGCGATCGTCAGAGCTCTGGACCCCTTTTCGCGTCCCACGCGTCTGGCGCCGTGGGCCGCAGCCTCTGAGGCCAGCCGGCAGGCGAATACCTCCCGCCTTGACCTTCTCCGTGGGCCCCGAGGTCTTGAAGACCTCAGGAGAGGATCAGGTGTCCTTGGCCTGATGGTCTTCAGCAGTCCTCATCGTCGACAGGTCCGAGGCGGGAGTTCATACATGACCACTGCCTGGAGGGTCAGTTCTCGGAGCTTCGGCAGGCGGTGGATATGGACATATTCGGGCCCCCCGGGGGCTGAAATATATCCATATCCACCGCCAGCTAGGGCACCAGGACGTCGGTTGGCTCAAGCTTGGTTCAGGCCCCTCGCGAGCCGTATCATGTTTTCCATCCTTCACGTCACCGTGCTTCCGGGCTGGCGGCAGCAGCTAGACCGCCGCATGAGTATTCAATTCGCTACCACGCCCACGTGGACGCGATCGCGGATTCACAATGGGCATCTTTGTGTTGGCCACGCCGAATTTAGTAATTCTCGGCCTGAGCAGCTTCCCTATGCAATGCGGACCAAAAAGTTGACCACTTCGAAGTGTCTTGCCAGGGAATCGGCAGGTAGATCCGGTTCGAAGACTTCTCCAATCTTGCAGATCCCCGCTTCCCCGCTACATGGCGACACGGCGGGCCGCAGCAACGAGGCTTCACCGATTCGTCGCAGGATCAAAGAGTCAAGGTCGGAGGGGCAGCTGGTCAAACATGTAACTCTCGCTTTGTCCAGGGGCCTGGCCGAGCCCAGCGTTTTCGGTGCAGCAATGCAGGTTTGCGGTTACCAGCGATGGTGGTCAACGTTGATGGAGATCCACTCGTTGCGGAAACAGAGCGGCATCAGGCTTCATGCGATTCAGAGAAACATCTTCTTGACCGCGTTGGCTCGAAGTGTTTTCGGTGATCAGTTTGGCATTGTACCCCAAAGGCAGGCGCAGATTGTCGGACTCGCCAAGCGAGTGTGGGAGGAGGTTGAGCCAGCTTCAGATGCTACCACTTTCAATGTTGGCCTGGGCGCTGCTCTTGAAGTTTGCATTGCTGCCCAGAATCCAGATGGGCTAGCATGGGCGACAGACTTGTGGAGCTGGGCCTCAGCCCACGATTTTCCAACCGACAGGCTGCATACAAGAACGCACGCCAGATTGTTGGAAACATACGGATTGTCCAAGGAAGCCGACGATACCATCACGGATGCGTTGTCAAGCCAACAGAAATGGGTCAATCATGCGTCTTTTGGTGCAATGGTGAACATTGCGGCCGAGAGGAGAGATTGGCAGCGTGCCGAACAGTTCTGGAGGCGGTTGGTTTACGAGCACGGCGTCCAACCATGCGTCACATCGTACACGGTCATGTCCAAAGCTCATATGTTGTGCGGACGGATTCTTGAAGCTCTTCGTGTATTCACCAGTTTGGATGAGGCTGTTTTGAATAGCTCAGGGCATTTCGTAACAATTGTCCAGAGGGCTCAGCTCCTCCTTTTGGCTTGTCATTCGTCGCCGTCCAAAGCAAACATACGGACATTAGATAAGGCATTCCAACTTGGCGAAGACACGATTCGAACATGTTGCCCAAAGAACTCTGCCAGGGAGTGGGGCAACATGAAGCTTGTCGCTCGACGCCTTCGTAGGGATGCCAAGTCTGTCACACTCAGGGACGTGCTCATCGAGTGGAAGGCTAAGAGTCAAAGTGTGATGAAGCAGTGGCCTGACCATGCTGGCGGCAGTCAGTATTTGGGAGAGTCCCGCGGCAGAGGTTGAGCGTGGCCCGCCCTGCAGCGGACAGCCGTGCTGCATGACAGCAGTCGCCCCCCCTTTCCCCCGTAGTTTCAATCTCAGTCCTCGTAAGAATCATGGGCGCACGTTCATGCTCCCTGGCAACACCAGACCCATGACATGTCCGCCGGGAGTGCACAGCACTAGCGGCTTGAGCGCCGGCCTAAGCCTGATGTTTCAGCGCAAGATGACAAAGTACGGATCCGATGAGAAAAACAATTATAAATTCCCGCCTCGGCCTCAGGGCCCCCGCGCCTCGCCCCCTGCGGGTCGGCCTCCCTGGCCAGGCGCGGCGCGCCTCGCCTCGCCTCGGGCATCGGCCTCGGGCTCGGGCTCGGTGGTCGCACGCTGGGCCCCATGGGCGGCTCGTGACGGTGCCAGCCGGCGGTCTTCTGGGGGGGCCCCGACGCTCAAGCAGTGGCGAAGCGTCCTGGCTCGCCCATGGCCCTACCAAACAATGTTCCGAGAACCTGTCGTGGTTCGAACGAATTGTTCTTCGAACATTCCTGGCGGAGTCTGTTTTGTTTCATCACATCGGGTTTATGTTCTAAGAACATTGTTTTGTTCTTAGAACATTTTTTGTGTTCGACAAGCATTTCGTGGTCGGACTATAGGAATCCCTGCTCAAGACGCTGTGCAGCCGCGAGAGATGCCGTGAGCCCCTCCCCCGGCCTCAAAGATCCCTGGAAGAGGCTCCGTTGCGCTCCAACGGTGGCAGAAGCAAAAGCCGAGGAGTGTACCTAAGAGGCCAGGGTTGTACGGTTGCAAGATCCGGCTTTTGTTTGCAATCGTTCCGGTTTTTAGATGCGTTTTTCATTTGCAATCTTCCGAACGGAACCGAAGACCTCCGAGAGGCTTTCGAACTTGCGCAGGCCTCCGAGACTGTCCAGAGACTTGCGAAAGCCCCCGAAGAGCCTTCCGAATGACTCCAATCTCCAAGCGCCCTGAAGGCCTCCGTCCGAGGGTCTCTGAAGGCCCCCGTGAGCGCCCATCGCAGTGGCTCCGAGGTTGTCTGAAGGCCTCCTGTGGGCCTGTCCGTTTGAGCTCCGAAGGCCGTCGACGGCCCGCGGGCGGCGTCCTGAACGTCGCGTTGGCGCTTTCAGATGCGGATGGAGGGCCGCGCCGCACCGCCGACGCCCTGGCAAGCTGGCGCCATCGTTGAGACCCACCCTGGGTCGGAGGAATACCCTGTCCTGCGTGAGTCGTGGCATCGCTCGGACGTGTGCGTTTTTTCTTGACGAGGACCAAAGAGGAGGATCTTTGATCATCGAGCCAAAAGGCAGCTCGCACGAGTTTGAAAAATAAACGTGGAATGGACGTCCGAGCGATGGCAAGGATTGGGCCTTCCACCTCAGAGGGTCCTCTGTGCGAGGTGTGCTCTCTCTGGGGCAGCGGGGCCTCGGCGAGGGGGATCGCGCTCCTGGCCGGCGCGTTCCCGTGGCCCACGTGTTGGGGGCCTTGAGACAGGCGTCAATGCACACGGGGGTCAGCCAGAGCGCGGGGATTTTGTGGGACCCTGCATGGCCAGGGTCGCACTGACCCGGGTCTGGGTGCAGCATCCTGCAGGATCCTGCAGGACCCTGCAAGGCCCGAGTGACCCAGGCTGTTGCATTGGCCCGGGTCAGTGCGCCCCCGAGCACGTTTCGGCTGCGTGGCCTCTCGGAGCCGTGATGCCTTGGGCGTCGTGACCAAGCGCCGTGGGGCGCCGCCCCCGCCCGACAGGCGGGCGCGGGTCGGGGCAGTGTGCCCAGGAGGCCTCAGGCCTTGGGGGATGATTAGTCTGAGGAGGGCGGCGGCGATATCCAGGGCGGGGTCTTCACTGGTGTTCCAGCGGCTTCCAGACCCTGGATTCGTGATCCAGTGATGCCTTATCCTCTGCCCTTGCCGTACCGCCGGGTCTGCTCAGGAGGTCGATTGACATCGAGGGGTGACCTCGTGTCCTTTTGTCTCGTTTCGTGCGGCTTCGTGGCTGACGCACGGGCTGCCCACAGAAGACATTTTGTGCCCCACCCGCTGTCCTCTGCAATCAGTCCTTATTGTATCTACCGAAGACGTCTGCGATTAGTCACCGCCGGCCCCCTGCCTTCTGGAAGTGCCAGTGCAGTGCAATGTCGAGCGAAATGGCGGCCACGCTAGTGGACTGCGTGCTTCCCCTTCTGTTGAGAAACCACTGGGGGAAAATTGGGATCCTCCGCGGCGGTATTGGGGCTGGCGTGGCGTTCTTTTCGGGGCTTTGGGGCCTTCTTGTGGGCCTCTTGGGTCCCTCCTTGGACATCTTGGGGCTGACTGCGGCCGTCTTAGGGCGCTCTTGGGCTGTACGGCGCATTTGGGGGCCGTCTTTGCCTCTCTGGGCCGCCTTGGGGCCAGCTCGGGCTGTCTTGGACTTGCGGCCATCTTGGTCGTCTGGGCAGTGTCTTGCATTCCATGAGTGATCCTCTGGGGTCGTGCTGGAAACCGTCTTTGCCGCCTTGCACACTCCTCGAGACGAGTTTTATTGATCTGCGATCGTTGTGCAGGGGGAGACGGAACGTGCCGAAGGACACCAGGATCTGCTTGAGAGGACGAACGCAGCTCCAGAACTGAGCAGGCGCAGCGCCCCCCCATTCAGCAAGCTGCGGGGGCGGCAGATCTGGTGGCCCTCGGGCCATCCCGCTTCTGTGCCTGGGATGTGTGCCAGGGAGACCTCTGGAGGCCTCTCGGAGGCCTCTCTGGGGCCTCGTGGGGGCATGCTGGAGGCCACTGAGGGATTCTCCCGGGGGCCTCCTGGGGGACAGAGGGCATGGCGATTGTTTGCACTTCCAGATCCCAGCGTACTCTCAAATGCCTTGCCAGTTACGCTCCACCCAATCGGCTATTCGGATCGCCTTCCTAACCGCATGCCCAGGATAATAAATCATACCACCCTTCACCATTGAGAGTTCATTATCTCCGACCAAGACAGGGTCGGTCGGTGGAGAGGAGCGGCAAGGCCGAACTTCATTATGGTGGGAGCGGCAAGGATCTGAAGAGCACGGGCCAGCTTTAGGTTCCAGCGATCTCTAGGCCAGCGCCCTCCCGAGGAAAACATCCCCGTCGTCGTCGTCGTCGTCGTCGTCGTCGTCGTCGTCGTCGTCGTCGTCGTCGTAAGTCGAGCCACTAATTGAACCAAGGCACCCTTGCATACTCGATTCGGGGCATTTTTGTGCGTTCTGATTCCTCGCCTAGGGGTACCTTGGCATCCTGGCGCTTCCTCGGCGCCCTGAGCCCTGACATTTACACGCCAGTCGTTGAAAGTAGGCATTTCTGGATTTCCAGATCCCGATCTACGTCAAGCGACTTCCTGCTTCAATAATCGATATGCTTGTGCTGTGTTTTGTTATTCTTTGGGAGGGCCTTAACGCAATCTACTTCAGCCGCCTTCCTGCTTCATGCTTTGACCTACTGTTTTCGACCGACGTGTATCCATATGTGCTTTGACCGCGTTGTCGATCTCAGAGTCCACTCCGGCCTGTTCGGCCTGCCCCTGTCGGAGGGCGCTCGTCGGGGGCCCCCAAAACCGTGCGGTGCCCACGCCGTGCGGTGAGTCAGTGGGGCTTCGGGGTGACCGCACGGTTCTGGGACTCGGGCCGTTCTCCGAGGATGCTTCGGGCTATTGGGGGCCTCCGAGATGCCAACACCGTGCTGTGACGGAGCGTGCTGGGAGGTCTGTGTGGATTTCGAGGTCGCCGCGCGGTCTGTCACCGCACCGCTCTTGGGACCCCCAACTGGGCGCTCCGGTGCTCCCGGCGGCGCGCCGGTCCACCCAGGTACGTGGGCGCTGGAGCGGGTGAGTTCGGGATGATCCGGGTGCCGCGCTCGGGGATCCCTCCGTCTCGCGAGCGCGCGCGCCGCGTGGGCGAGGGCGTCGAGGACGACGGCAAGGGCGGTGAGGACGACGACGAGATCGACGGCGACGAGGACGACGAGGAAGACGGCGACGGCGGCGGCGACGAGGACGACGAGGGCGACGAGGAAGGCGGCGACGGCGGCGAGGAGGAGATTGATGACGACAACGGCAGCGATGGCGGCGGCGGACAAGAGGGCTGCGAGAACGTCGCAGACGAAGTCGGCGGGCAAGGACGACTGCGACGAGGACAGCGAAGATGACGACGGCGACAGCAACGGTGGCGGCAGAGTCGATGGCGGCGAGGACGGCAGCGACGACGACAATGACGGAAGCGACGACGACTGCGACGACGATGAGGACGGCAGCAGCAATGCCGCGGCGGCAGAGAGGAGGGCGGTTGGGACGACTGTCAGGAAAAAGACGAGAACCGCAGAAAGCGACGATGACGACGGCTGACGGCGACCTGTAACCAGAACGACGAGGAGGACGACGACGCGGACGACGGCGACGAGGACAGCGAGGACGATGGTGCCCACGGCGTATGTGACGGCGACGGTGACGAAGATGACTGGAGGTTGGAGGAAGCAGGCGGTATTATGTGGGCAGGATGAAGGGGTGAGGATGGGTCATTTCGGTTTCTTTGTGCTGGGGACCGTGGATCCGCAAGCGAGGGGCGAGCGGCTTGGCCCACTGCGGGGCCACTTGTCCTCGCACAATGTGCACGTGGGAACCGTTGATTTTCTTTGCGCTTCGTATTCGCATCGGCGCAGGTGGGGGCATTCAAGTATGGCCTGCTGCCGTCCGCCGTTGAACCGCCAGCGATGAGGAACAAGCGCATAAGGCTCCGTCCACCTGCGAGCCACCGATCTAGATACGCAGCGGTGCGTCATGATTGCGCAGGAGCTCGACATCAGATATGGAGGGAAAGCAGATGCCAACAGCCCGCCGTGTGCCAGAGGGAGCCCGTGTGCTTTGATGGCAGGGTGCTGGGTTCAGTTGCCGAGGTCCAAGAGCACGTTTTCATGCCCGGTTGAACTCACCCAAGAGGAGGAGCCCCCCAGAACCTCGAATGTAGTATCTATCCAAAGAGATGGAGGGCGGGGAGTGAGAGAATGAGACTGTCCGAAAGGGCCTTCTCACCCCTGCGTATTTCCTTCTCCGTGGACCAGCGCTTGACTACAGCTCGGGACCAACGCTGGGACAACCGCTCGGGACCAACAGTGGGAGACAACTCTCTGGAACAGAGGCGGGACCAACGCTGGGGACTAACGCTGGGGAACAACATCCTCACCTCTGAACCGTAACTGCGGGCCTTCCGTTCCTTGCGCCCGACAGAGGGAGGGTGATGGGCCTGTTCTTGACCACCACCACCACAAGTTGGATGGGGGGAAGGAGGTGGAGGACGAGGAGGAGGAGGACGAGGAGGAGGAGGAGGAGGAGGAGGAGGACCCCCTCTCCCCCAGTTGATGGTGGTGGTGGTGGTGGTGGTGGAAGACAGGCCCATCAGAGGGTCCTGGTGTGCTTCCCCCGTCGGGGGAACACAGTCGGCGATACATATATGTATGTATGTATGTATGTATGTATGTATGTATGTATGCATGCATGCATGCATGCATGCATGCATGCATGCATGCATGTAATGTAATGTAATGTAATGTAATGTAATGTAATGTAATGTAATGTAATGTAATGTAATGTAATGTAATGTAATGTAATGTAATGTATGTATGTGTGTATGTATGTATGTATGTAGGTAGGTAGGTAGGTAGGTAAGTAGGTGGGTATGCATGCATGCATGCATGCATGTATGCATGTATGCATGTATGCATGTATGCATGTATGCATGTATGTATGCATGTATGCATGTATGTATGCATGCATGCATGCATGCATGCATGCATGCATGCATGCATCCATGGATGTATGTATGTATGAATGTATGTATGTATGTATGTATGCATGCATGTATGTATGTATGTATGTATATATGTATGTATGTATGTATGTATGTATGTATGTCTGTGTGTCTGTCTGTCTGTCTGTCTGTCTGTCTGTCTGTCTGTCTGTCTGTCTGTATGTATGTATGTATGTATGTATGTATATATGTATGTATGTATGTATGTATGTATGTATGTATGTATGTATGTATGTATGTATGTATATGTATATATATACACATATATATAGATCGTCCATTCCTGGCATTTGTCCCTCTCTTCCTGAGCCCGTCCCCCCACCTGTCGTCGAAGGGGGTAATCTTGCATAACCACAAACTCGCAGGCCTAGAGGTTGACACCAACACCAATTTCGGCGGTGTGCCTCCACCGAGGGAAGAAGATCCCGATCTCGGTGATAGTGGCACTATTCTGGCTTCCAGGGTGGCCGAACTATTACCACCAACACCGAAAATCTAGGATCATCTTCCCCCTGTGGAGGCAACCCCCTGTGTTGTTGTTGGTGCCAATTTCCAGGCCTCCAGAAACTTCCAGGGGCCCGCTCGGATCTCTTGGTTCTGCCCTAGGCGCCCCTGGCGGCGCGCGCTCCGCGCGGGGGGAGGGGGGCCCCGCGCCGATCCGAGAGAGGTCCGCGCGGGCCGGCGGCTCGTGTGTAATCCTGCAGCTCCGGGACTTCCTTCCGCGCGCCCCTGCCGGGGCCGCTCGCGCTCCTCGGGCACGTGCGCTCCAGGAATTCCTGCTCCGAGCGTGCGCTCTCGCCCCCCCTCGCGCGCTCTCTGCCTCCTCATCGCCCGCCGTGCCCGAGTGGGCAGCCGCAGTGCGCCCCGGCTGCCTTCGGGCGCGGCGCGGAGCCCGCCGCCCCGACCAGAGCAGCGTGCGCCCCCCCTCTCCGCCTCTCCCGCTCGACCACGCGTAGGTGGGGCCTGTCCACCCCAGAAAAATGTAAAGTGCACCAGAAATATTCCCAAAATGCTTCAAAATAGTTAACAAATGGTCCCCATATTTTTTGGGTGGCTATTTTTGAGTATTCCTCCTGTAGAGGGACAGGCCCGACTTCAGACCGCGCCGAGGTGCCGCGGGGCGGGCCCAACTTCTGCCTGTGCTGCATCGGGCCGCTGTGCCTCAGCCTCCTGGCGCTCCCGCTGCTCTGGTGGCTCCTCGCGGGGGGTGCAACGTCGTCGTTGTGGTCGTCGTCGTCGTCGTCGTCGTCGTCGTCGTCTGGTCCAGCCGTCCTGCTCCTCCCTCCTCTCTTTTCCTCCTGCCCCCCTCCAGTCCGTCCTTACATCCTCCTCCCTTCGTCCCCTCGTTTCCCTTCTCAATTTTCCTTCTGCCTCCTTCCTCCTCATCTTACTCCTCTTCCTTCGCCTGTTCTTCCCCTCCACTTCTCACCCTTCCATGGCGATCAGGACGACGATGATGATGGCGAACACGATGGCGATCACTATTCATATGTTTGTGGCGGCGATGGGAATGGTGACGATGATCGTGATGACGATGACGGTGGTATTGACGGCGATGTTGTTGTTGGTATTATTGTTGTTGTTGTGGTTGCTGTTGGCGGTGATGATGATGGTGATGGCGATACTGATGGCAATTGTGATGGTGATGTTGGTGCTGCTGCTGACGTGGATGCCGACGACGAGCACGGTTGGGACGGTGATGATGATGATGGTGGTGGTGTTGATGATGATGATGCTGATGATGGTGATGATGATGGTGGTGTTGGTGATGATGATATGATGCTGCTGCTGATGCTGATGCTGCTGATGCTGCTGCTGATGATGATGAAGATGATGATATTGATGGTGGAGGTGGTGGTTGTGGTGGTTGTGATGGTGGTGATGGTGGTGGTTGTTCGGATTCTGATGCCGCTCGTAAGGTTGCGGTTCTTGATGATGTGGTTGACGATTACGATGATCATGACGACAAGGATAATGATTATGATTCTGTATACAGTTCGATGGTGGGAACGGAGCGACGGGATTATGATGGTGATGGTTCGGTTGAAGGAGCAAGAGAAGGAGCCTGAGGATGAGGATTTCTGAGGATGAGGAGGAGGAGGAAGAGAAGAGAAGCGCGCCTTTTGTTCCTTGAGGAGTCGCGGGGGCGTGCTCGGGGTTGCGCTGGAGGTGGGTCCGAGTCGAGGCAAGTCCTCGGTGCACATCCTCCGAGAAGAGGGTATCGGGGAGGGAGAGAGGAAGGAGGGGGGATGCGGAAGGGGAGGGCGGTCGGCACGAGCTCTGGTGGACGGGTCGGATGATGTTTTGCGATATCTGTGCGGCGAGGGAAACCTGGAAGGAATACCCGGACGTCCAAACTTGCAGTGGCTTTCCACTGTGGGGTCAGGAGGTTTCCACTCTCCGTCCTGTCGCTTCCCTCCGTCTTCGCTCCTGCCTCCTGCCTCACCTTTCATATCGTCCCTCCTCCCTCCTCCCTCTCCTTTCTTTTCGCGTCCTTCATCCTCTCGCCTCCCTTCCTCCTCCGTCCTCCCCCCTGCCTCCTGCCTCCTGGCCCCCCCCTCCCCCCTCCCTTCTCTTCCCCTCCCTTCCCCCCGACCCGCGAGCCCCGACCCGCAGGCTCGTCGCCTCCGCGACCTCGACCACCACGACCACCACCACGACCACGACGGTGCCACCGATCCTGACGACGCCGCCCCCGGATGTGACCCGGCCGCCGACGCCGCCGCCAACCCCGGAGGAGGCTCCGCCTCCCCCGCCGCCCCCGCCGCCCCCGCCGCCGCCCCCGCCGCCGCCCCCGCCCCCTCCCCCGCCGCCGCCCCCGCCGAC